CCACCCATGTCACCACGGCCAGGGGGTCACCGCGGCCAGCTGTGCCACCACAGCCAGGTATTGCCACCACAGCCGCCGTGCAGCTGGGCGGCCAAATGCCAGCTGCAAGTGCCACCACAGTGAGATGTGCCACGTCAAGTGCCACAAAAATGAGATGTGACACCACATCCACTGTGTCCCCACAGACCCCGTGCTCTCCCTGGGGTGGCGCTGGGGCTGTTGTCGTCTTTTCCAAAGGCCTGCGTGGCTGGCGGGCCCTGTCCCTTTCCGTGTCCCCTCCCTCTGTCACCCCCGGGTCCCCACGCAGGGGACACTCACGGGGTGGAGGGCGGTGCCACCTGGTGGTGGTTTCCTGTAACTGCAGGATGGGTGCGAATATATTTATATATTTTTAAAATATGCAAATATGCAAAACCATTTCTATTATGTATAGAGAGATACAGATGTGTATAGGTATGTCTGTGCATATATATATATATATATATATATATATATAAATATATATATACACAGAGGTGGCTGTTTGTGTTCACCCCCCCATATATATCTCAATATAAATCTCTCTCTCTATATATGCATATATATATATATGTGTGTGTGTGTATATATACCTGTATATTTTTATATATATATGTGCAAAAATATATATATTTTTGCACACATATATACAAAAATATCCTGTATATATTTCTATATGTGTATATGTGCATGTAACCACACCCATTTATAATATATAATATATAATATATAATATATAATATATAATATATAATATATAATATATAATATATAATATATAATATATAATATATATAATATACTAGAAAAATATAATATATAAAATATAAAATATATAAGATATAAAAGATAATATACATTATATATAATTTGTATTATATACTATTTAATATAAATTATATATACATATATTAATTATAAAAATTATATATAAATAATATAATCGAAAAATATACAAAATAAAATATAAAATGTATAAGATATAAAAGATAATATGCATAATATATAATTGTGATTATATATTATATAAAACACGTGTGTGTCTATGTATTTGCATATATACGTGTATGTATATAAACTCATGCATTTATATATATTTACATATCTATATAATAACATAAAAATAACATTTACATATCTATATATATAACATACAAAAAATTTTATATATCTATGTGTATCTATATAAATGTACATGTATGTGTATATATATATAAATGCCTCTATATGTATTTATATACAAAATCATGCATGTATACACACCTATAAATATATATGTACACCAGTGTGTATATATATATATATATATATATATATACACCTATACACCTGTAAATATATATAAATATGTATCATGCAGGTATGTATTTTTAAATATATTTATATGTATTTTATATATTTTTACATATATGTATTTTATATATTTGGCATATAAAATATATTAAAAATACATATATGCACATATAAAATGTATTTAAAAATCTATAAAATATATATTTCTATTTTTTTATATACATATAAATATATTCATATGTATTTACAACCCCTCTGCCTCAAGCCCAAGCAGGGCTGAGCTCTGACTCAACAGAAATATTGGAAATGCTCAGGGGAAAACATCCTCGGAATGCTTGGGGATGGTTGGGAACAGCCAGTCCTGCCCGGGGCTGGAAAACACCAAGGTCACATAGAAAACACCGAGCCTGGCTCCTCCTGCTCATCTCAGACCTTTGAACCTTTTATTCCTTAAGAATTCCTCCAAATCTCTCAGAGATTCCTCAGGGTGAATTCCAGGCTCATCACTCAAGAAGAAAACTCCGGCATTGATGGGATTTTTCTGTGCCTCAGGAGCCTCCCCCAGATTCTTTATTTTCCATATTTGGACATGAAATTCCTCAAAGAATTGATTTTAGGGAATGGTGTCCAGCCCTGGGACATGTCCCCTGGTGCCACCACAGGGGACAGGAGGCACCTGACGTCCCCTGGAGCCCCCCCTGGACACAGAGACCACGGAGCAGCTGGAGCAGAACACGTTTTATTCCAAAGCTGGAAAACCTGAGCTCTGAACTTTGTCTGGATTTGGCTTCAGGATTGGCAACAGCGAGGGGACAATCCCATGGGGCTGCAGCAGCACATCCCAATCCAGCAGCCCCAGAAAAACAGGGATGAGACCCCCAGGAAAGCATTCCCAGGGTGGGATGAGCTCCCAGGGCACTCAGGGAGGGAAGGAAGGAGCTTTATCCTCATTTTTCCCTTTTCCTGCTTCTTCCAAACCCAAGGTTCAGCTTTTCCTCCCCAAAACGGGGATGTTCTGCTGCAGGCACCTCGGGATGAAGCTGGAATTTGGGGCTGGCACGGGATCTAAGCTGCTTTGGCTGTCCCAGTTTGGCGTGGGTTTCACAAAATGGACACGAGGAATCCAAGCCAGGAAAACCCCAGCAGGATTTGGGGTGGATCAAGCTGGAAATTTGGCCCCGGGGGGAACTCTCAGATGGGCTCAGCATCATCCAACAGGGAAGATGAGGATGGCTGAAGGTTCTGGAGAGCTCCAGAATTCCCAGCGTTGGGAGTGGGGATGTCAGAGCATCCGTGTCACCACCATGGTGAGGAAATCCTCGTAGCTGAGGCGGACATTCCCCACCATGGCCGTGTCCTTCTCCCTGAAGGTGTCGGTGAGGCTCTGCAGCTGCATGCAGATGTGGATGAACCGGTCCAGTTGGATACTGGGATTGGGGGAACGCTGGGCGTAGCGGGCCAGCAGCAGCTGGCTGAACTGGGGGCTCAGGTTGTAACCCATCTGGGAGAAAGCTGGGAGCAAGAAAAACTCAGACTGAACCTTCCCAAATGGAGAGGGAGTGCCTGTGTCGTCCTTCCCCATCCTCCTCCTCCCTCCTCCGCCCCACACACCCCATCTCCCACTCCCACCACCCTTCCCACTCAGGGTGTGCACGGGCAGGGCTCTCCAGAGGAATCAAACCACAAATTCCAGGCATTTTTCCCTTTTACACACGCCCAAGAGCTCCTCCCAAAAACCAGGCTCCAGCCACTCATCGCTGAGGGGGAATTCTGAGCTTCCGGAAGGAACTTTGTGCCCCACCCCTGCTGCAGCTCATCACCTCCTGTCCCCTGAGAACCTCCTGGTTTATCCCACGGATAATTTCCAAGGAGCTCAGAGCCCTCCAGCCCGGCCGCAGAGACCACTCCAGCAGGAATTCCAGTTTCCAGCTGGGAACAGAGCCTGGAAATGGTAATGGGGAGGGTCAGGAGGGGACAGGCTGGTGGCTGTGGCCCTCACCCACCTTGCTGGAGCTCGCTGAAGCTGATGGAGCCGGACTGGTCCCGGTCATACTGCTGGAAGAGGCTCCTCCACTGCTGGATGAAGCGCAGCAGGGCGGAGAAGCCGTAGACGTCGATGCGCCCCGACCGCGTCTTGTCGAACATGTCTGGGCAGGGAGGAGCAGCAACAGGGCAGGGAGGAGGAGTGGAAAAGCTGCAGAAACCTCCAAGGAGCTCAGGATTCACGTCGTGGCTCCCTGGAATCCTGCTCTGATCCCAAAAATCCCCCTCGCCAGGACTGCGATCCACTGGGACCGTTCAACCCTCAAGGCTGGTAAGAAACAGCACCAAAAGCTGAGGCTGGGGCAAGCTTTGGGTGAATCTCTGCATTTTTTGGGCTTTCCTCACTTTCCTCCCTGTTTTTCTGGATCTGGGGCTTGTGCAGAGCTGGGATTTCCTTTCCCAAGCAGGATTTTGGGCCCTTCACCCATGTCCTGAACCACGGGGAGCTGCTTGGTTTGCCCAGCTCCAGTTGGGAGCTATACCCAGGGAAAAGGGGAATTCACCCCAAATCCAACCAAACCAGGTGAGAAGGAGGGGAAGGAGACCCCAAACTCACTGATCATGAGCTGACAGGTCTCATCGTTGAACGAGGACCAGTTGTTGTTGACCAGAGCCTGCTTCAGCTCCTTGACGGAGATGAACCCGCTGTGATCCGTATCCACCGTCTGGAACCAGGAAAACGCCTCGGGATCCACCCCTGGGGGGGCATTCCCTGCTCGGGGAGAGGCCATCGGAGCTGTCACCTTCCCCTCGGACAGGCCACGGGCTGGGCTGGCCCCGGGGGTGGCTCCCAGGGCCGGGCAGAGCTTCTCCTCCCACGGGAATTACAGCCCGGTAAATCCCGGGAGAACCGGGCTGGGATGGGCACGGAGCAGCTGGAGCCGGGAATGGGCTGGGAACCGGAGCCTGGGGTGGAGAGGGAGCCACGGTGCTGCCCCAAAAATCTGGCAGAACCGGGAGATTGGTGTGGGGTGAAAGTTTTAGGGCTTCCTGGCACTTCCTCTTCCTCCCTTTTCTCTTTTTCCTCCTCCTCTTTCTCCTTTCCCTCCTCC